GTGAAGGGACTCTGAGCTGAGATTTTTTTCTTAATTATTATTATTTGTTTAATTTCGAGGCTGTAAGCTGAGCCTTGGGGTCGGCACGGCAGCACAGTGTTTGAATTGTTCAACATCTCACGCACTTATTGCCTAGCAAAGTGCTGGAAATGCACACACCTATAGGGGCACCGGTATATCCAGCCTTAAAAAAGCCAACCTGGAGAGTGTGGGAAAGCAGGCTTTTTTCTCTCTCTCCGTCTCTCCCTCTCTCCGTTTCTTTCTCTCCCAGGCTGCAAGAGCAGGTCAAATCCTCAGCTAGGTGCCCGAGGCTGTTTTTCCCATCTCTCTCTTTTGCAGCACACCTCTATACCAACTGAACCAAATCCCAGTAAAGCTTGAAAAAAACAGAGCTACCCCTCTGCTTCCACTTTGGAGTTTGTTTAACCCTCTGGGGCCGAAATAATTAAGATCAATATATATATGAAAGTTCAACCTGGTGCTTTTTTTTGAAGTTGCCATGCTGTATGAGGTAATTAGACAACGGCAGATCTAGCGTGTGTGTTTTCCAGGCCGCCACTGTAGACCAGATCACTTCGGGACACGTCACATGTCATGAGAAATATGCTGGGACACAAAGTCAAATTATAAGGAATGACAACAGGATTTGTATTTGGACTTCTTTGGATTTGAAAGTAATTCTGAGAAAGAATATGGGGTTTGTGTGAAACAGAATGGAAGCAAATCAGACTACTTATATTGTTTGTGAGGTTTTAATGAAGATAGCATGCTTTTACATTGTGTTTAATAAATCAGATAAATAGTAACAGACTTGTCAGTAACAGAAGAGAAATACATGAAATCTCTGTTTCTCCTTTCACTATCATTTAGCTGTATATTTTCTCTGCTAGAAACTTCAGATGCATTTGAACATCAGCACCCGATTGAGAGAGAGAGAGCATCCCTTGTGAAAGCAATCCTGGATTATCTGTTCTATAAGCAAGGGATTTTGCTAACATTACTTTGCAAATACGGAGGAATAATTCTTATATTTTCTCTATGATCGTATACCTTCGCTTTGTAGAGCAGTAGTTTAATTCTCAAGGCTCATTTAAAAAACAGCAGTGCATTGTCATGTACTGTAATCCTGAGGGGGCAGAAACAAGCATACATAAAACACATACAAACAAGATATTAGATTATTTGCTTATTAAAAATGCCAGGTAATATATTTTATTTGATATCCTTCTTTTTCTTTTTAATTAATCTATTAATCATCTTCCAACCTTATTTTTTTAAACAAAGTAATATCTCTCAAGTCTTTAATTTCCACACTTTATGAAAAGGCATTTATTGGCAGAACAATGTAAGGATTTATTGCATTAGTTTCCCTCCTAAATTTGGCAGTACTTACTTAATAATTATTTCAGCATGTCTCCTAAAGCAACCCTTCCTACATTCTTTAAATAATAGCAATTGAAAGAGCTGTAAATTCATTATTTCTAATTGCTTGAGCAAAAGGAAAGTATTGCAAAGCAGGAATGAACGATTTTGTAATATTTGCACAAAAAACCCAGCAACTGATGTAAACATGAAGTGCATAAGAATAATGTAAAATAAGTCAAAAAGTTTCATACAGTACTCCCTCTGATTTCTCAAATCTCTATTTGTGCAATTACATTTTTATTTGTGTTGTGCATATACAAAACTTTCAGAACCAAAAATGAATAAGCTGTTTTTTAATAACAAACTACTGCAATAAAATAAATAAATGAAGGTTTAATGGTTTAATATTGCAAGGGGAATTGTAAACAATGAACGTTACAGTGTGTAATATTTTATTAAGAAAATAACGCTGTGCAGCAACAGTAAAATTTTAATTGATGCAATTATTCCCAAGTTGCATCAATGTAATTGTGATTATTAAACTCATATAAAAAGTATGCAACATATAATTGTTATTGTTTGTTTGTTTTTAAGCCTAGTCTATTAACTTTATTATGTACGGTTGAAGCAGTGCTAGTAACACATGATCTTGCCAGTGGGCAGGTGTTTACACATCTGCATGTGTGAGGCTTCTGAAGTCTTCGAAATCCCAGGCCCAGCTTTAATGCCTCACTGTGGAGTTGAGGATGCCAGGCCTAGAGCTTTACAATGCGGGATGGCAGGGATGCTTCAGTGAGTCACTGCTGTCAATGCTGGGAGTACAGCAGCCTTCTGTCAGGCGGTCCTGGCATTCCAGCGTGCTTGAAGCTCAACCTGGAACAATAGGCAAATTATGAGGGTGATGTGGATATACAGACTCTGCATCTCTCCCTTTGAGCGCACACGTATGGTACATGTGTAAGGTTGTGGCCTTCACAGAGAGATTAAGTGCACCTATGGTGTGCCATATTTATCAAACCATAACAATAGGTGGACAACTCTTAACTAAAGCCATTTACAAGCCTCTGTATATGGTATAGTCTCAGTAATCCAGAGGATGTGTGTGAACACTCAAAGGAACATTCTCGCATAAGCCTTGTCTTTACACGTATTCTGAGAATATTAATAGCGACGTACATAAGCACATCTGATAAATACTTAAGACTAGTGGCTTTTTGTGCATCACAAACACAGGCCTATAATAATGCTAGATTTACCAGTATATATATATGCTGTGTGTGAGTGTATGTATATCTATGTACAGTTATACTCTCATATGTACATACAGTATGTAATACATTTGCCACAAGTGCACATACATATGAAGTCTGTGTCCTTTGACCTGTTTATTTTAGTAAATCCCTTATAAAATGTACCCTTTTAATCCTTTAAATCAAGATGCTCATGTGCTGTTTTATTTAAAAGTAAATACGTGTTGCTTTAAAAATAGTTTCACTGGGTGGGATATGGTTTGCTCCACTGAATTCATTCCCACAAGATGATGTAGATGACACTTTTCAGGCATGGTGACGCTTTAGCAAAAATACCTCATAAATATGAATCATAAAAGGCACAGCCCATTCCCAACGACAGTGGGAGCCAAATATAAAGCACTCAGATTCATAAGCAAGCATACCCCCAATAAACACACTCACAAGTCTTTTAGGGTGTGTGTGTGTGCATGGTCGGTAATCTGTTCTTAGAAGTAGACTGCTTTAGCTGTCTCTCACAGTAGATCTGGCTTGGTAATGTTGCTTTTTTGCATGGATATTTGGCTGCTGGTGTGACGATGGGGAGGTGGACTTAGACTATGGGAGCAGGGTTATTGGGAGGCCAGCCAGATTCATTATTATGAAGCAGAGACACATATACAGGCCAACTTCTGGAGAGTGATGGCAGAAGAAACAACGAAAATTTTAAATAATTTCAAATTTGTTTATAATTTCTGTCTGTTCATTTGTTTTGTATGAAAAATAATGGTTAATAATCTGATGTAACATGTTTATTATAATATTTATATGTATATTACATAAATATATTATAAAATCTACATCAAATATGTTTGTGTACGTGTGCGTGTTAGGGCTGCACGATTATGACAAAAATCATAATTGTCGATTATTCCCTTGAAATTGTAATTGCGATTATTAATTACGATTATCACAATTTAAATTGAATGATGTTTATACCATTGTTTGATGCAACTGCATGCCGTATCTTTATATGAAAATAAGCTAAAAACACTAACTGAAAAACCTTCAACCTTTTCTATAGTATTAAGCCTCAAATGTCAAATATACATCGGATTGGTTTCTTCTTTAAATTATAAAAAAAGTTAAAATATGAAATTATGAATGGTATTATAATGTTATACTAAAACTAAAACTAAAACAATGGAAAAACCCTTAAGATAACATGTAGAAAGAAAAAAACAAATCTTAAGTGTGCAGAATAACATAAGTGGACTTTGAACGATTAATTGCCGCTTTGAACGATTATGTAATTGTGGCATCCATAATTGTAATTGCGATTAGAAGTTCGATTAATTGTGCAGCCCTAGTGTGTGTGTGTATATAAATTGATTTAATACTCCCTTCATAACAAATCCTGATCCAAATAAATTTTGGCATAAACTATAAAAGTCTTAACTGATGATAATAATAATAATAATAATAATAATAATAATAACATTTACATACACTGCAAATATATTATGAAATACATATAAAGTAAACATTAATATTATTTATATGCATATATATGTATAATACGCCATTTTTAGCTGAGATAACACAGCCGTTTTGCACATGCATAGATGTACTGCAGTGTTTACCTTTCTGCCTGCCTTCTTCTCTCTTTTAAAAAGTCTGCCTTTTTCGCAACCGGCCACCAATTTTGAGTGGGGAAAAAAACAGGCTTAAGGTACTAGTGGTGTTTGGGGTCCCATGCTAAATGCCCTCCTAGCTAAGCCCACTGCCCAGGCTGCCTGTCCTTATGGTAAAATGAAAGAAATGAAAGGTAAGTAAAAGTAAATGGATTTTCCTATTGAATGTTATTGCTTGAGGACTGGTGCAGATGGTTATTGATCTGGTGCACGCATTGCCATTACAGCGGGGATGACAATCAACGGCCAGACCCTTCGCCAGTAAACAAGGCTCTTTCTGCCGCCACTGGGAGAAACGAGTGCAGCGGTAGATAGGAAAAGCGAAGGGGTTGTCTTCCCTACCGCTCTGCTCCATATCGATCTAACCTGCTCTGTTTACTCTTTAGCAGCAATAACAATATGTGCCTGGAGAAAGTGCTCACAGTAACATTTACTTGGATGTGCGCACACACATTGATACTTACTGCACTATTCACACATGTAGTATAAAACTTCATGATGAATTAGTTTAGTAACTAAATGCTTTTCATATCAAATGTCAGTTCACAGAAGTGGTAAAAATATCAAGAAATACACCTAAACCTTGTCTTATTAAAAAAAAAGTTTATCTCAACAGTGCAGAAAAGAGAAATTAATAATAAATAAATGTAGTAAAATCACAGGTAATGCGAAACCCAGATATTGTTTAATGGATTATTTTTCCATGTGTCAGGTCAGAAGGGATGCTGGAGAATGGTTGTAACCGGTCCAGTACCTTCTCACCTGTATCTTCAGTGGACATAATGCCTTGAGCCGAGATGATTCTGAACAGAGCTCTGAACTTCATGTGCGTCCACTCTTCATCTCCCTCTGTAAGACCACTGGACTTCTGCTGAGACATTACACAGGTGACTACCAGAATATCTCTTCTCACTTTCACACCAAAACCCTCAGGGTTCAGTTCATTTCTAGAGATGAACATTTATGGTGTCACCTGCACATCTTTTGCTACATTTTCCACATAATTTGTTTAATTATGTTGAATCTTCAGTTGTGCAAAACAGATATTGTCATAGAAAAAGATTTATGAAATGCAAATTTTATATTGTATGCTCTACACATTAATCAGTCAAATAATTGTACAGATATACTGAATTTGCCTAAAAAACTGACGAATGCAACAACAACAACAAAAAAGAAAGTTAACAGCTGTCTTTTAAATTAGATTTGAATGTCATTTTACTTGTTTTTAAAGCTTGTAATAGCTTTGCACTTAAATATATTTTGGACTGTTTGAAACTTAATCTCTCAGAGCATCTTCTGACGTTCTCAAATTTTGGCTTCATGCCCCAGATGTTACCAACAAAAAGACAGGTGAAGTTAAAGCTGAAACACAATGCCAAAATATTAGGGAATTAGAGAAGCAGTCTCTGGACACTTTAGGAAGCTGCTGTAAACCTTTGTTCTGCCTATTTAAAAAAATGAAATGACAATATACTCTTGCTTTTTATATTGTACAGGGTGAAATCAGGTCAACTGGGACACTTTTGCAGTTGAGATGATTGAGAAAAATATCTCAATTAACCTGAATTCACACCTACTTTGTTGCTATCTAATAAAATGTTTGTTAGTATGGAAATTACATTATGGAAATATCCTAATTTATTTTTTCAGTCCTAAATTATTTCAGTAAATCGGATTTCACTTCAAATAAACTTGAAAATGATTAGCCTGAATCACCTTTAGATAACGTTGCAATACAATTCAGTGCGCATCAACGAGTCTGAACACATCTGAGCATCTCAACATTATATGCTAATTTTCATAGAGCATATTGGTAATGCATTGAAAATCCTAAGTGCTCTCATTCTATGGAGAGGACCAGAAAATGTGTTTCGTATCAAAATAGGTGCTTTTTTTTCAGATCTGCATTCTTTGAAGGACTCTTTTGGCTGGATGCACGTTTTCTTACATAGAACCTTCTCCCAAAGTGTAATCCTTTTTAAATTGCCCACGGCCACCAAATATAGCGGCAAAAGTGTGTCACATTTCTATATTTCTTTTAGATCTTGGGGGGCTTATGGAGATAAAAAGGGAGACACCATAGACTCTAGGTGAGGGACTGAAGACATGTAATGGAGTCCAAGCTCACACTGCCAAAATATGTGGAGGCATGCATGGATTCCTCTAGATTAGCAATATGGGCTTGTTTCTGTGGTATTAGCCAAGTATCTTAGCAACAGGATCACAGCAGCCTCACACCTTGTGATGTGCAGACGCATGTAATAACCTGAACGTAATCTTTTTTCTCCTGCTTCCTTTTTACCCCCCTCCCGCGCTTTCTTTTAATTTCGCCGGTGATTTTACTGATACATGTGTTCGGTTTGAGATCTTTGTTTAATAAGATGAATTGATGCAGTGGAGATTTGCTCTGTGTCATGAGTGGACAGGGCAGAATGCCTCAGGAGCTTAGAGGAGCTCCATGTCTTTTGTCTTAGATTGACAGGAGTCGTGCTTACCCTGATTAAGCCCGGCTGCTTAGCGTGTATCTTTGAACTGAGCGAATCAAAAAAATGCCGGCGGAATCCTTAATATCGGCGTGCCGTTCGGAGTCAAATAGAATGCAAATTACCTCTACGACTGAAATGTCATCTTAAACATGCTACACATCGGCTGTGCCTTCTGGAAGAAGTCATTTAGAGTAATTTGGTTGATTCAGAGTTCTACTAATCCTCCTTCATTTTCTTCTCCACCTCTGAGGTTACAGGAAGAGTAGAAAGAGGAAGATGGGGAGGCACAGCACTAATGTTATCCACCTCACTGATGCTAACGCTAATGATTTGACTGTCACCTTCACCATCTCTAAGAAATCCGCATGTGTGCACAAACATATACCTCTGTTAATTACCAAAACTAAGCGGAGCACGCTAAATTAAAAAACTAAATCAAAACAAAAAGTTTTTTTGTAAATAATTTGTAGTGGGTTAACCCTCATGTTGTGTTCGTCATTTTGATGCCAAAAATGCTAGTTAATATTATCACATTGAACTAAAATTGACTGACTTTGCTCACACAGGGTATAACAACTTCCCCTCAAAAATTGTATACTTTTTGTACTTCCTAAGGATTTTTTCCTAACCTTGTTACACTTATGGTGTTCCCGGTTAAAAATGACCGGCCTACAAAAATCATTCCAAGAAAGAAATTCAACTCTGCGCTAATTGAAAGAAAACAAGTTGACAAAAACTGAATCCAAGATTTGGTGATAATATAGCATAATGAGAGATTTACAGGAAGTTTTTAAAAGGATGGTCATTTTTGACCAAGTGTACCAGATTAGATAAAAGATTCTCAGCACAGCACAAGGGTTAAGAAATCAGTTAATCTCCACAGTGCAGAAAAAAATCTAATTAAAATATGCATTAAAAATATGAAATATTTCAGTAGAAAATAGGTCATGTAAAAATGCACATATTATTTATATATATTATTTATATTATTTCTTAAATCTTTGATTTACTTTTAATACCCTTACCTTCAGTGGACAAAATGCCTTGATGGAAAAACAAAAGGAAAAATGGGACACAACACTCTTATTAGGTACTCTGCTCATGTAGTGTAAACTTTTTTGTTTTATAACGGTAAATATTGAGGGTTGTGGATATTGACACTCAAATATATTTTATATAGAGCATAACTGATGATTATAGAGCTTGTTGAAAGCTTATAATAATTTCACAGAGGCCTATAACACTATTCCCTCAACTAGAAAACTGACCCCTGAAGTGGAATCATTTTAACACTTGCGTTTTATCACAACCCTTTATTCTGTGTGTAAAACCTGATTAAAAAAAAAATCAACTCTTTTAAAACAAAATTATTCAGGTCACCTGTTTTTGTTTCCTCTCTCTCATCACTCTCAGCAATATATTCTCTCCAACGTCCATTGCTTTTAGCCGTTTAAAGGGCCAGCAGACTGACCCAGAGGGGCCATTACAGTGCAGTTGGACCTCCTGATTTACACCCTTTCATACAACCCAGGGGTAATATAGTCCTCAGAGCTACACACAAAAGCACGTACACGCTTTTGCTCTGCACTCAGGGACACTTTCACTCCAGCCCCCTTAATTCTTTCGATTTATCTTATACATGACCCATTCCCTCTTGCTCAGGACTGATTGAGTAGTTTGGTTTGTGTGGCTACAACACACACACACACACACACACACACACACACACACACACTCCACTCGTCTGGCCTGAACTGCCTCTCTCCCGGGAAGCCTCACACACACACACCCCACTCATCTGGCCTGAACTGCCTCTCTCCCGGGAAGCCTCCTCACTTTTCTCTGGGTTATCCTCTGTCCATTGCCTTAATTTATTATGATCAGACAATACAATTTTATGACTTGTGCTTGACTTCTCCATATTCCCTGAAATTTATACAGAGTTCATTTGGGAGGTTTGTCAGCTTTTTTGTGCAACGTTCTTCAGCCTAAAGTTTGCCTAATTTTATAAAGTGTAATGTGAAATTTGTGTACTTTTTAAAGGCTTGATTAGTGTTTCATAACAAAAAAGATAAAAGATAAAATAAAAGATTTATTTTAGTGCTTTTTTCTTTTATTAAATAAAACAGGGCAGTGTAACTAATTATGATATGAATGATAAGTCAATAGAGTCCTTTGTCTCAGGCAGATAAGATAAAACTGCTTCTAAATCGAAATTTTAAAAATAGCTGCTTGGAGGATGCTGTAATGGATCATCAATATTAATTGATGTTCAAAACAAATACCACATGTGCTGCTGTAATTCAAACCCAGCAGTGTACTATACACTCGTGATCAAGGTGATTCAGCAGACGTAAATTCTCTGAGCTCTGTGCCATGTAATTTAATCCCCTTAAGTCTTATTTTTGCACTCTTAGACAGCGTCTTATAATCACAGCAGTCAGACACACATGCATCTCTCTCCGGTACATCTTTCAGATCACATGACATGCGCTGATTTGGCTGTTTGGTCAATATGCCGTCTAAGAGTTTGCGACCACATTGAAAACCTGTGATCAAAATGAAATTTAAATCTGTAAATAAGTTCAGGAGTTTTAGGAATTTTAACATTTAGAAATATGATGGCATTCGATGAAGGAAAAATACAATTAAAGGAATAGATAACCAACAAATGAAAAACAAAAATCCAAACAACCAAACAGTTTGGTTACCATTGACTTCCATTGAATGGGTCAAAAAAAAAAAAACACAGAAGAGAGAAAGTTGTACAGGTTTGGAATGACATGAGGATGAATAAATGACTAAATTTGTTATTTTTGGGTAAACTATCCATTTAAGCTTCTGCACTATTTCTAGTTCACTAATTATTAAATTAGAAATATGCAAGAGACAAGATTTTCACTTTTGGGCCTCACTGGATGCTTTTCATTTATTATATCGCACAATGTAACAAAACAATTGTTTCACTTAAATTTGTATGGTTCTTCTGTAATTCTGTGGTGCTAACTATTACAACTTATTTTCATGTAGCATCAATATTTTGGTAAACATTTAGGTCAGGTAAATTTTAGAACTTCTATTGTTAATTATGAAACACTCAGAACAGATATGTTTTTGTACTAATTTTGCATATTTGCTTTTGCAAGGATAGGAACATTCTAGAAGTTCCTGTAACATTCTGGAATATGCTTTAATATTCTAGTGCTTTCTGTAACATTCCAGAACATTGTGAGACTAAACGATTATCATACAACGTTCACTTTTTGACGTTTTGGACGACTCACTTTTGGCAACTGTTTATTTTAAACTGTCGTTAGCTCAGTATTATGCATGTACCATATAATTTTATGCATGAGTAATAACAGATTAGCTTGTTCTTTTTTTCTCCACTATGTTGT